TACACCCATCGGAGATTGGTACAAAAGAGGTGTCCAAGAAGTAAGCACTCCCTCTACCCAAATAGTCATAAGTTATAAAAAGTGGTTTAGTGTCTAAACCCTTTCTCATTGCCTCCCTGTCAACTAGAAATCAGTCAGCACAAAATACAGAAAAGGAGCATGTGAAAACTGTGGTGCCATGACACATAAGAAGAAAGACTGTATGGAGGTAAATAGTTCATAAAATATGTTGTGATGGTGTTATTGTATGTTGGTAATATTCTGTCTTCAGAATGGAATACTATTTCTATTTAATACTGTGCAGTATATACTACTGTTCAAAAGTTTGGGCTCAGTAAGATATATTTAAAAGAAATTAATACTTATATTCAGCACGGATGCATTATATTGATCAAAAGTAACGGTAAATTCATTAATAATGTTACAAATGATTTCTGTTTCAAATAAATGCACTTTTTATTCATCAAAGAATCTACAAAAAATATATCAGCATTGATAATAAGAAATGTTTCTTGAGCAGCACATCATCATATTAGAACGATTTCTGAAGGATCATGTGACACTGAAGTAGGGCTGTGCAAAAAATCAAATGCGATTCATTGCCGATTTTGAACGCGGTTTTGTGTAGCTTGTCAGTGAACAACGGCTCTGTGTGGTAAATGCCGCTCCATCTGAAAGCACGTGCTGGAGATTTACTACTAACCACTGGAGCGGCTTTACTAACGAGATGCGCATGAAAATCGCATTCGATTTTTTGCACAGCCCTACACTGAAGACTGGAGTAATGGCTGCTGAAAATTCAGCTTTGCCATCACAGGAATACATTACAATTTAAAAATACTTTAAAAGGGAAAACTTTAAACGTTATTTAAATTGTAAAAAAGAAAACACACACAATATTACTGTGTATGTAAAGAAATGCAGCCATGATTAGCATAAGAGACTTCTTTTAGAAACATAAAAAAATCTTACCGACCCCAAACTTTTGATCGTTATTGATATTAGAAATAAACACTGCATTTTCATTTTTGATTACAATTTGTGCAAAAAATGTCTTTCATAGAGACCCAGAAAAGTTGGAGCAAAGTTTTCTGGCACAGGCTTGGCACCAGATGAGCACCAACAGATTCAGCTCTCAATGGATTATGATGGAAAGAGAGATCGCTGGAATGGCTATGATCCCGATGAGCACACGCGCATTGTAGAGGAATATGCAAAAGTTGATCTGGTAAGTCATGTTGTTGGATATTTATGTTTATTTTATTATACAGCTAGGCTATTCTCAGCAAAGAGAACTTTTGTCATGTGATCATTGTCATACATTTTATTGGAAGGATCTTTTACTGTGTAGGTAAAGCATGTCTAATTTAAATATTTTTTTGTAACAGGCCAAGCGTACTCTCAAAGCTCAGAAACTCCAGGAGGAGTTAGCTTCTGGTAAATTAATGGATCAAGCTGTAAGTATTAAAATAATTAAATATTTTTTCTACATTCCTCTTATAGCTGTGTGATTTCTGAAAATGTTATTATATGTTTGTCACAACCTTTTATTTACTACCTTTGTGTAACTAAACAGTATGTTTTATATCTAGAATTCAAGGAAGCATCTTGTCGATGATGCAGCACAGGTAAATGTCATATTCAGATGAATCTTTATGCACATTGTAGACTATAAAATAAAACTCAAATCATAAAGCCACTTCACTCAGTCAATTAAACTTTTTTCCTCACCTTGTGTAGGACCACAGCAGTGAAGATGAGGATGACGACAAATATGTTGATGACTTTGACATGCCTGGACAAAACTTTGATTCCAAGAGACGAATCACAGTTAGAAACCTGAGAATCCGGGAGGACATCGCTAAGGTAAAAATAACTTGAACTTTTGCAAACCAATGAATGTTAAAGGCATGACACTACTTGTTTTTCTAGAAATATGTGCAGTTTTATTTATTTATTTATTTATTGGCAGCTGTGTTAAAAAAGACTAATATGGTCTTATCATCAGGATTTGTAGTAGCATAAGATTACACATTAATATTTTTACCACAGTCTGCTGTATCATGTTTTTCCCAACTTATTTTACAGTATCTCAGAAATCTGGATCCAAATTCAGCCTACTATGATCCCAAGACTCGAGCTATGAGGGAGAACCCATACTCCAACACTGGAATGAATCCAGACGAGTAGGTGCTTTTCTCATTTTCTGTGCATGCAATCAAGGGAAACGTTGGGGAAGTTACAGGCTTCTTACAGAAAGCTTGCAGATTGTGTACTAAGTAGGGGTTACAACACACATTGTTCACCACTAAGCAAGGCATAAGTTGATCTAATTAAGTATTGGATTGTAAATTGCTTTAGATGAACAAAGCCTGCTAAATGCCAAGAAAGCTGATGTTGTTCAGCTTACTAAATTTCAAGGAAGCTGAAAAAATACATCACACAGAATCGCACAGTCTTTGAGTGTCTATTTCTGTAGTTGTCTCTGCCTGTCCTCAAAAGCATGTGTTTGGTTTGGCAGGGTGGGCTACGCTGGAGACAACTTTGTGCGCTACTCTGGAGACACCATTTCCATGGCCCAGACACAGCGTGAGTACACTTTGTCAACTCATACATAAATTCCTCTCTACCTGATGTTAAATGTGGGCTCCAGACTCTCAGTTCCTGTTGGTCTAACATTGTTTTGTGTGTCTCCTCTGCAGTCTTTGCTTGGGAAGCCTATGAGAAGGGATCTGAAGTTCACCTCCAGGCAGATCCCACCAAGCTGGAGCTTCTCCATCAGTCCTACAGAGTCAAAAAGGATGAATTCAAAGAGAAACAGAAAGAGAGTATTTTGGAAAAGGTACAGTTTAGAATCTCCTTTTTTTTTTTGCACACAGCTAAATTTCTTTCATCCCCTGCTCGGTGTACTGATGGCTTCATGTCACACCTCTCTGCAGTATGGTGGGCAGGAACACTTAGACGCCCCTCCACGAGAGCTTCTGCTGGCTCAGACAGAGGAGTATGTGGAGTATTCTCGTCACGGGGCTGTGTTGAAAGGACAGGAGAAGGCTGTGGCCTGTTCTAAATACGAGGAGGATGTGCTCATTAATAACCACACGGTAAGTTTGCTGGCACTAATGGAAGTGTTACATAACTGGACAAGTTGCATAATAATGATAGATTTTGTTCTGTGAATGTTAAATATTTCCTTTGGTTTTGCAGTGTATCTGGGGATCGTATTGGAAAGATGGCCATTGGGGTTACAAATGCTGCTACTCGATGGTGAAGCAAAGTTACTGTACAGGAGAAGCTGGCAAGAAAGTAGTGGTGCGTATCAAATGTATCCATTGCACTGGCAAATAATGTTATGCATGACTTAGTAATACAGGCAGCAAAAATCTGATTTTTAAAATTGTATCAAAGCATTTATTTTATATTATTAATTTTATTATCCGTTTTATTTTTATTATTATTAAATGCATAATATTTTTTATTATCATTTATATATTAAAAAAAAAAAAAAAAAATTCTGCTTCTTTTTTCAGAGTAATTCTTGTATTCCATTTGAAGAGGATGGAGAGGAGGCCCAAACAAGTAAAGAGCCAAAGACACTTTTACAGGTACATTTACAGCCGCCTTTCTTTTGTGATATAATTCCAATGGAAGAACATGGCAGGAAGATGACTGTATTAAACTAATATGTTTTTTATTCACAGATGCACCAGGAAAAAATGAAAGACAAGAAAAAGAAGAAAAAGAGCAAGAAACATAGAGATTCTGACAGCAGTGATGAGGACGACGAAGCAAAAAAGACGGAAAAGCTGAAGAAGGTGGGTGGGCTGTTCCTGCCACACAAACTCATATTTTCATATTCAGATGCATCTGTGCTCTACAAAGCCTATTGTAAAAGAAAATATGTCTTTTTGTGCAGGCATTGAGTGCGGAGGAGCAGAGGCTGAAGCAGGTGGCTGAAATGATGCAGCTCGACGAGAGGAAGCGGTCGTACAACAGCCTAAAGGAAGTGCGTGAACCCACAGAGGAGGAGATGGAAGCCTTCCGCATGAAACGTTGCCGACCCGATGACCCCATGGCCCCTTTCCTGGGGCAGTGAATGAAAAAAATAAATGTCTTTTGTCACCAACCACAGAGATGTCATAGTCTCAGTTATTGTAAAATCTGTTATGGTTGAATCGGGGTTACGAAAAGACCACTGTTGAGCTAATAATGGGAAACGCCCCATATTATTAACACATGACAGTCTGTTAGAACCATCAGTTTTGACATCTTTTCACTTTGTATAAATCTGTGTAGATTATAGTAGAAAATAAATCGGCTGTATTTTCTCAATGTTTTCATAATGTGTTTTTTTTTTTTTGACCGTACATTGTTTTATTAGTCTTTTAATAATAAAATGCCCAATAAATTACAAATGGGTTATGTTTGGTGAATCATCTGTTTTGATTTAACAGATATGTTCCATTGTCAGATATGTTCAAGGTATTAAAATGGACTCATAATGAAAATAATCTGACCAGTGGTTGACATTAAACATATTTAAACCTGAAAATGGCTATGTTTGGTTTTGTTATGGGTTTTTTTCTAAGCAACATGTAATCCAAATCATTGCAAATACACAGAAGTGTTAAGAGTTTGATGTAAACAAGCACATTTCACATGGCTGGAGTTCTGTGAAAATAATCATGTTCCTGTGGCTCAGTGGTAGAGCATTGTATTGGCAGCATAAAAGGTGGGTTAAATTCCTGGAAAACACACATACTGGTAAAAAATGTATAGCCTGAATGCACTGCAAGTTGCTTTGGATAAATGCGTAAATTATAGTAATATAAAGCTGTTTTTTTAATTGATTTGTGGGCTGCAGAACTACAGTATAACAGTCTGACTGAATTTTCAAATGAATCCCCTCCCCCAGTTTGTTCAATTACATCATGGATGAGCTATCTGGCAGAGCATGTCAGTGCAAAAACTGGGTGGATGCTTGCAAAGTTGTGTGGAGGACATGTAAGATACAAATCGATTCACAATCTTGTTTATATTCTCCATTTTTGACTGCCAAAAGAGCTGCTAGACTCTCTACTTTGCATTGCAACGCCAATCTCATTTCTCTGGTGAGGATTTTTTTCTAATGCATGCTTTAAATGTGTTGTATAATTGTGTTCTGTGGTCTGTTACTTACATTTACTACCTAAATAAAACGGTTCACCAATAGGCCTAAGTCAAGTTATAACCTGCATTATTCACATCCTGCATGTACTGTATATAATGTGATTTATGGTGCTTATTTCTGTGAATGACTCTGTATATGTATATGTATATACAGGAAATCCATGGAAATTCCCTACAACAAAAATCTGGCCCCATCTGCTCTGTTTGCAGGCACAGCTGCATCATGCATCAGTTACTGGCGGTTTGCCTGCTGTCTCTTTTCTCTTTGCTGACTGCAGACTCGTCCAAGAAGGGACGCAACTTCACTATCCATTCATCACAGCTTAGCTGCAGTTTGCCAGGCCCTCAGGGTCCTCCAGGGAGTCCAGGTGCAGCAGGTCCCAATGGTAACGTAGGCAAGATGGGGATGCCAGGTGTTGATGGCCAGGATGGGAAGGATGGTGACAGGGGAGAGAAGGGAGAGAAAGGTAAAGCATATGAACATGTCTGTTGCAGTTATAACGCCATTAATGAAAAATAACATTCAAAGTATTAAAATATATGTTATTTCTATTGAATATTAAAGTATGTTGTCATTTTAAAAATATTTTTTATATGAAATCACATTTGGACAAACAATGAAAATAAAATGGGTGAGTTGTTTCATAATACATGATAAAACCTGTCTGCAAAATAAATAAATATAAATTTAAAGACACTAAAGACATTTGTGAATTTTATTCTCAAATGTCAGGTGAACAAGGTCGTCCTGGGAACCCTGGAAAATATGGACCACAAGGACGCACAGGACTTGTTGGGAAGGCAGGGCCATGGGGCCTTAAGGGGGTGCGAGGGGCACCTGGTGTGTCTGGAGTTCCTGGGATAAAAGGAGAGATGGGAGATGTGGGGGAAACGGGCGCTGCCGGAGGCTGTGACTGTGGAGTAGAGGCACGATCTGCTTTCTCAGTAGCGGTAACCAAGAGCTATCCCAAGGAACGCACGCCCATTCGTTTTAACCGGATTTTAGTGAACGAGGGTAACCATTACAATGTCACCAGTGGCAAGTTTAACTGTGCGATTCCTGGTGTGTATTACTTCGCATATGACATTACGTTGGCTAACAAACATCTGGCAATCGGGCTTGTCCACAATGGCCAGTACAAGATCAAAACATTTGACGCCAACACAGGAAACTATGACGTGGCCTCAGGATCAACAATACTTAGACTGCAAAAAGGAGACCAGGTCTGGCTTCAGATCTTTTATTCAGAACAAAATGGACTGTTTTTTGATCCATTCTGGACTGACAGTCTTTTCACAGGATTTCTCATTTTTGCTGATCAGGCTGCTTGAAATGAGGTGAAGACCAATTCTGGATCATCCTGATTGAACGTTTTATTTGTTTTGTATACATTTTACAAAAAGGCCCCAATAACCTGTTTACAAATATTTTATACGAAAATGTAAATATTACATTTAAAATATAAAAAAAAATGCTATAACACTGCCGTATATAAATAATACTAAAATAACACTGCTCATCAGATTTGTTAGAGAATAAAATGTAATATTTGAATTGAATAAATGCCTTTTACATAATAGTCCAGGTGATATGTTCACTTTTTCATAAAAGCATGAAACTTGGTGTACAGATTAGGGCCCTGAACATTTTCAGAAATGGAGCCATGCAAAAACACCTCGTGGTTGTCAAGGCGACCATTTTACTTTCCGCCATAACCAAATTATGTATTTTGTGTCATATCTCCTGAACCAAACATGATAACACAGAAAAGTCTATGTCTACCCCTATGTTTTGATGGTCAATGATTACAATGATACCATATACACAAACATAAACTGTTCAGGTGAAGAGTTAATGGTGAAATCAGCAATGTGGGAAGGAAATAACAGTATCTGAGCATCATAGTATCACAACATTTACAAAAGCCCATATTATGGCTATTCATTTTTTTCTTTCTTTGATAATTAACGAATATTTTATTTAATATTACAATAATAGATTGCTTTAATTAATTAATTATTAATTCGTTACATTTATATAGCGCTTTTCTGGGTACTCAAAGCGCTTTACATGAATCTCCTCTCCCACCACCAATGTGCAGCATCCACCTGGATGATGCGACGGCAGCCATATTGCACCAGAACGCCCACCACACACCAGCTAACTAATATTTTATTCAATAGTACAATAAAAGATTGTTTTCAAGAATACAATCATTTATATCAGAGATATAAAAAAATATAATCTCAAGCAAGTGTATTTTTCCTTACCTCTCAGGCAGAGTCAGGTAGGCGGTAGTATGTTTCCAATACATTCTTGTTCTCTCTCAACAATGCTCTAACATCACACGCAGATGGCAACGCAATCTTGCTAACCTGCGTCCTATCTGCACCTCTTCTGCTGCACCTCTGTCATTTTCTGTGGGCCTCTGGAATTGTCAGTCAGCTGTCAACAAACTTCATTCTGGCCATTGCTTCTCAGTCTACTCTTAAGTATCTTGGGCTTGACTGAGACCTGGATTCGTCCAGAAGACTCCGCAACACCTGCTGTTCTCTCGAACAACTTCCCTTTCTCTCACACGCCCCGTCAGGTTGGAAGGGTACTTTTCTTCTCATTTCTAATTATTGGAAATACTCAACCCACTCTTCCCTATGCAATAAGAATTCTTTTGAGGTTCATGCTATTATGGTAACAGCTCCTGTTAAACTCCATATTGTAATGATTTATCGCCTTTCTGGTCAACTGGGCACCTTTATAGAGGAGCTGTATGGGCTGCTGTCCTCATTCTCTGTGGATGGCAGTCCACTTGTAGTCTTTGGTGACTTCAAATCCATCTGGAGAAGCCTTACACTGCAGACTTCCACTTCCACTCCTAGCTTCATTCGATCTCAAATGGCTTACCACCACAAGCACTAACAAATCAGGCAACCAGC